ACTGAGGAAAGTGGCAGCCCTGTGGCTGTGTGTTCTATGTAGAATGGTGACACAGAGGTACAGAGGAGACTTGAGGAGAGCAGGGCACTGTCCTAGAGAGATGGCAGAGCCAGGGCCAAGGCCTGGTTGATGAAAGGGGATGGAGAATCATCCTGTATAAGGTTGGTGCCTTATGGCCTGGACCTAGCTGGACTGACTAGGGAAGAGCAAGCCTCTGAAGAGGCAGGGCCAGGTCCTCCACCTCTGGCTTTCTCCTTGGCCTGCCTGGTTCACTGAGGACAGGCGAGCTGGTAAGGCCAGGGGTCAAAGGCCCCCTTCTCCCCACATCTGAAAGAAGGAAGGCTTCTGGGGCAGTCAGGCCTGGCCAAAAAAGGAAAGCAAGAGAAACGGAAACCTTTCAGCCCCCGAGCTGCCAGAAAAATTGAGGAAGTATGCTCAGCCTCTTGTGACAAAACCAGTCATCTTGCATGGGGTGAAATGAGGGATGTGGATCTGAAGATGGAGACCAGATATCAGCTGAGGCCCTCTGCAAGCTGTCAGATCCTGTCCCCTGGGCTGTGCCTTCCTCAAAGAGAGATGCTCAGCTTGCCCTGTTCCCTCCAAGTGCTCAGGACCCACCCCCAACTCAAAATGATCTATTCCCACTAAAGGGATCAAAATTCCTAAGCCAGAGGGTAGAGGACGATGCCCCTGCTTGCCCTTCCCTAGTCAATCCAGGCCATAAGGCACCGACCTTTGTTACATTTCCCTTTACAGGAAGGGTGTCTGCTCACCCCACCCCCCCAACAGGACCTGGCTGGTGGGTGGGAAGCTCCTCCGGCATGGACAGTCTCTACAAAGGAAGAGTGGAAAGAGACAAAAGCTGAGGGACAGGCCTCCTCACCTGGAGAATCCCCTGCGGCCAGGAGTCAATGGGGAAAGCCCTGGTGTCCCTGTACCCAGCCCCAGCTTCCCACCAGGAAGCCACCATGGGCCACAGCGTTGCCAGCACTGGAGAGGCAGGTACTTCTTGAAATGATACAGCCTTCTTCCCCAGTGCTGGGCTGGCCATGGAATGACAAGCGGCCCAGCTCAGAGGACCCCTCCTGTAAGTAACCTTCCTGGTCCCCAGGTCCCACCGCAGGCTGACTCCACACCTCCATTTGGGAGGCTCTCATATGACTATCTCTGTGGTCCTAGATGCAAATTTTGGGGTCTGAAATCTTTCGGTCCCTTTTCTCCCCCAGCTAACTCCTACTAGTGCCATCTCAGCTTGCCACTTTGTCCAGGATGTCCTCTTATTATGCAAATTGGGTTAAGCATCTCCTCAGCCCCCATAGCTGCCCACCATTACAGGCCCTGCTACATTCCATCTCACTACAGATCTATCTGCCTAGTCTCCCCCTTTACAAGGGCACCGATTCATCAAGTTTCTCATTGCTAGGTCCCCAAGTCCAGCCCTCAGACCAGCAGAAAGTTCACCCCAGAAAATATATGCTGAATGAATATATCTACCCTTGAGGCCACAAGGCAAGAAGTTACTTCCTCCAACTGATCCTCAGCTTTCAGCCCATGAGAGAAAAAGAGAATAAAACAAAAAACTCAAGGATTTCCCTTGAGGTTTCTATCACTCAAAATTTTAAAAAAAATGTGACTAGGCCACCAGACTCTGCCCAGCCCTTCCCACCTCAGAGAATCAGGAATCCTGAGGCATATGGCTCAGAAACTAACAAGCTCCTACCCCCAACCTCTTCAGCCATTTGGGGAAACTGAGACTCAGAAACAGGCAATGATCTGCCCAGAGTCACAAAGCAATTACGGCCAGAGCTAGGCTGGGACCAGAACAAGGTTCCTGCCCTCCTACCTCTCCCTTCTGCCCATGCCAGGGTCATCTTGGGCCTGTGCCAGTGTCTATCCCCCCACCCCCTGCTCTCATATTCTTCACTATCCAGGACACAGAGATCATAGAGTTTAGTAAACAGTGACATCACCAAGCATTTTTCCCAGCTTAGGAAACTCCCCCTTTGCCTTGGGAATTGCACCCCCCCACCCCCCGCAGTTCTGCAGGGGGAGTTCACCTTGAAGGTGATGAATACACCCAAGTCCCTGAGGAGGTAAGGATTTCCACTGGAAATGCTGATGCTTGGGGAGCCCCAGGTGTGACCTCATCCCCTAGAGAAGGTGACAACAACCCCTTGCCCTGGGGAGTGGATTCATAATGACTCCCCAGCAGCCACCGAGTCAACAATAACATCCTATTGTTTAATTGGACCAGAGAGAGGGCAGAACCAGCTGGGTAGGTAGAGACGAGATGGGCTGTTTCCCCTGCTGTGGACTGGCTCACCTCTGACCCTGGAAGTCAACACCTTCCTGAGTTTTTCCTCCTCCTTCAACCATTGGTGGACTAGGGACAGGTGCACAGCTTATACACATTTGTCAACTCTGCCAATCCCTTGCCCTCACCTGCAATCCACTCTTCCTGCCCCTGCTTGAGAAAGGTCAGGACCACACATTCACACCCTAGACTGAACTGTGTCAGTGACACCCTGGAAGGACAATCCCCCAAACCCATCTTGCCCTAGTAAGCTCTGAGGGTCAAAGATAGATGCAGAACTCAAGGACACCACATTGGCACATCTCTTCTCCTGGCCCAAGCTGCTCTGCACCAGGTCTTCACTGGGCTGAAGAAGCAGCAAACTTTCCAACAAGTGCAGGCTGGGACCCCTCCAGAGCCCCCTGCTCCAACCTTTCCCTAGGAGTTCAAACAGTAGAAAATAAAGACCTTTCCATACCTGTCCCTACACCTGTCATGGTTCAAAACTAAAATCCCAATCTATGTCTTCTAGAGATATGGCTCTGGAACCACTGCTGTCCCTGATCTAGTCATTCCTGGTGCCATACCCCACCCACTGGTGGACAGGGCTCTAGCTTTACAGCAAGCCTTCAAGGGCCCACTCTCACTCCAGTCCTGGATTTGCCTGACCCAAACTCAATTCTGTCCGACTGCCATGTGTCACCCCACAGGAGACAGGAGGCAGCTGTCAGCCGGGCATACTATCACCAGCTGGTGGCCCTGGTGAGCAGGTGAATGGCAGGGCCTGTCTGGCCAGTGGGGTACCTGGCACTGGTGAAGGAGACCACAGGCTGTCCTTGGACTAGATTGGTAACTGGCTGGTGAGCCCCAACCAGTGGGGGTCAATGGTGCATTACCAAGCAGAGGACATGGCCCGTGTGGTCACAGCAGTGAGCTGTGGGCAGGGGAAGGGGGGCATAGAGCTAGGCTGGGAGCTTGGAAAAGTGGGTAAGAGGTCTGAAAGCAGCTTTAAATAGCCTCAGGGTGGAACCTAAGTGCCCAGGATGAGGAGATATGCATTAAGTGCTAAGAAGTGGGTGTACTTTAAGTGTGTGGAGGGGGACATCAAGGGAAGATTTTGGGGGGGCGGGGAGCAGAGCCAAATGTAAGGGGTTTGATGCAGGAGGAGATTCCAGAACACTTAGTCAAGGCCATTTGTCCCCTCCAGTCACAGCTCATGTGCTGTGGTATCCAAGACAGTCAAGGGGACTGAGGCAAGGCAAAGATCCTGGGGAACACAGGAAGCCCCTGCTGGAGCAAAGGGTGTGCAAATGTTCACCACAGAGGGTTGCCAGAGTTCCAGCCAAACTGCTCCACTCACACCAGGCACACCTCTGGCTGGATAGCAGCGCTGGAGACCACAGGCATCTCATTTATGGTTGAAGAACCACTTAAATCCGTCTCCCCTCCCTAATGCAAAATCGGGACTGGTCCTGCACCTGATCACAGCCCCCACCTGCACCGTGAGCTCAAGCCGCCCAGTGACCTTGGGGGAGTCACATTCCTTCAGCTGCTGCGGCAGTTCAGGACACTCATTTTGTGTGTGGTTCCCCCCCCCCCTTCTGCTAAGAATACCTGCCCCAGATAATGCTCAGACTCCGGCAATCCCTGCAAACTGCCAAAGACATCAAAGGGTTCCCGGTGGGGACAGACCCAAACAGCCCCAGCTGTGAGTCCCACCACCACAACCACAGGGGAGATGCAGAGACGCCAAATTTGGGGACAGAGCTAGTCCGCTTGGGGGCGGGGAGGCATTTATATGCAATGCAGGGGAGGGGAGCTTAGTCCCTAGCGGCAGAAAGCCTCAAACCCCCACCTAGCCAGCTTTCCGTCCCATTGTACAGGGGTCTAAACTGAGGTGCCCTGGAGGAGACTCTCGTCCCCCAGGTTCTCATATCCACTGTGGCCTAAAGGCTACCTGCCCCATATCTGCTGGCCGGCCAGGGGTCCCAATGGCCTCGCCCCACCCCGTGGGCACTGCCCCCCACGCTAGCGCCGATTCCTGGTGACAACTGCCACGTGCGGGCAAGGGGGGAGCGGCCGGTCCCGGCATAGCAGAGATAGCTCCCAGGTGCCCCAAGCCCCCGCACCACACCTCGTCCCGGCTCACAGAAGGGTGCCCACCCCCTTGCCTGGCCCGCGCTCCGGGCCGGGGCGGGGGCGGGGGCAGGCGGCAGGGTCTTTGTTCCCGCAGCCGGAGCGCAGCGGCAGCAGCAACGGGTCCGCGCCCCCTTCACCGGCCCAGCCAGAGCCTTGCGCGCCTGCAGAGCCCGCAGCTCAGAAGGAGGGGGTCTAGGTGGGGAGCCGGGACAGAAAAAGGGTCCTGCGGGGAAGACCCCGCTCTAAAAGACCGAAAGCGGCTGGGGGCCGAGAGAGGGCCCGCACCCTCCCCCTGCGTCCGGGCGCTGCGGCTCCCGGCTGCCTACGGACTTGGAGCGACTTAGCTGGGGCTCTGGCCCCAGCCGCTCGCACGCTGCAGCGTTACAGCCTGCTCCGGCGTGACACCACGCACACTCACACACACTCACCCAGACCCACACGCTCTCTGCGGGGACAGCCCGGGACCCGCAGAGCCGCGCGCACGCACTCCCTCCCGGTGCTGCACACTCCGTACCCGCCCCGCGCAGCGTCCGATCCCGCGCCCCGCCGGCCGCGCGGCGCCGCCTACCTTTCCAGACGGCGGAGATGCGGGGTCCGCTCCTCGGGTGGCCTTGGGCGGAGGCGGCGGCCGCCCAGAGCGGCAGCAGCAGCCGCAGCAGGAGCCCGGACCGAGCCGGCGGGCTGAGGACGCGGGTGCGCGGTGCGCTGGGGGCGGCACGTCCGGGAGGAGGAGGCGTCATCCCGCAGCCCCGGAGCGACAGCGGCAAGCAGCCGAGACTGAGCCAGCGCCCGGCCGCAGGCTGAACCTAGCGCCAGGAGGCGGAGTCAAACGCCTGACCCCACCCCGCCCCTCCCCCGCCCCTCAGCCTTTTCTCGGCTCCCTTGCTGCCCCAATCCTGAGCCGTGAGGGCAGCCAGGGGATTCTTCGCCACGGGCTTCGGAGCAACTCCACCGGGAGAACCCGGCTGCAAACAACAGACTTGTGGCGTTCTGTCTTCCGCGGCAGGCCCCATCCCCTCTCTGAGCCTCAGTTCCACTCCTCCTACCCCATGAAAGGATTGGCCTAGAAGTCGTGGAGGACGGAGTCTCTGCGAGCGCAGACTGTCTAACACTAGACACCCTCACTCTGGCCAGCACTTAGGTTTGGAGCCTGAAAGTCAGGTTCTCACAGGATGGGTTTGCCTGAGCCTATCAGCAGGAGCATGATGCTTTTTTCCTTGGGGCGGGAGGGCGATTGATGATGTGTGGGGAGCATGCAGCGCCCCATTATTGCTCTGCCTGTAAGAACACTGGGAATTTTTCATCTTGGCCTGGCTCCCTCCCCTCCCTCTCCTTTCTCCTCCCTTCCCCAGCCAGCAGCCTTCTGGGCTGCCTCCCCCCAGCCAGCTGGTGTACGCTCAGAAAATCCAAACTCATTTCCATGTGAGCAGAGGGGGATATAATTAGGAAGGCCCCTTCCCCAAGTGAAAAGAGGGGAACATCCTGCATGCCCAAGACTCACTGTCAGGGAGGCAGGGTAGGACCAACTTGAGGGATCTCTACCCATAAGGTGCCTAGGGCTCAGCTATCACAGGCAACCTGATGACCCAATGATAGTGCCTTTGGAAGGTCCAGGCACACTCCCTCTGCAGTCACCTGAGCAGCCCAGGCAGCTCTGCCATTAGTTCATCTTCTCAGAGCCACCTGCCTGCCCTTTGTAAAAAGGATCTCCCCGCCCTCAGGTCAGAAAGGATTTGAACCAACAAGCTCTACCTGAGCCCCAAGGAACCACAAATAGGAAACCCACCCAGCTTTGTAAGTCCTTATCTAGTGCATGCTGGAGATCTAGCCCAAGGTGTACTGCACTGACAGGAAACAGGGTGAGGAGGCAGCAGCAGAGGCAAATGAAGATGTGACCTTCAGAACTCATAGACTTAATTCATGCACTGCAGACACCAGCAAAGACACTGGGCAGGATGCCCTGGTCCCAGCCCCAGCCCCAGCCCCAGCCCTCTGCTCTGCTCCATGGCCAGGAAAGTATTGCTACCAGGAAGTTTAGCTTTGCCATTCTACATTTTGCTTCTAACTGCCTCTTCCTCCTTACCTGAGAGCTCCAAGGAATCCTAGCAAGCCAAGAAGGGGGAATCAAGATGCCTTCAGAGATAACACAGGGGCTGCCAGCTTCAAAAGACCCAGGTTCACACTGCTCCAGAGGGAAGCTGGCGTGGAGAGTCTAAGATGTGTGACCTGCTCTGAGACCTGCACCCTGCCCAGAAGCCAGCAGGATGGCCTGGCCTAGGCTATCCTCTGAGACTGACACTTGGTGTCCAGCCCAGGGCCTCCTCTGTCAGATAGACAGCCCCTAGTATTGTCTTTCTCTGTAAAAAGGAAAGGGCTGGGGACGCAGCTCAGTGGTAGAGCACTTGCCTGGCATGTATAAGGCACAGGGTTTGATTCTCAGCACCACATATAAATAAATAAATATCCATTGACAACTAAAAAATATTTTTAAAAAAAGTTAAGGCAAATTAAGAAATCACCCATCCCTGCATTTAAGAACTAAGAATTCAAACAGATTCAAAATAAAAACATTACCCATGTGCATAGCAACTTGCAAAGTGCAACCCACTTCCACCTACATCATTCCTGCCAGTCCTGCATTCTTTTCCTCACTAAGGGAGAAAGCATAACTCCATTCTAGAGAAGAAAATGAGGCAAAGAGAGGGACAGGGACCTGACCAAGGTCAATTGGTAAATGATGGAATCAAGATGGGAACCCAGGTTTTCAGATTCCAATAACAATTGCTAACATTGCAGTTACTGAGTGTGGTGCACATTTCATAGCCCATTTTAACTTCTGCAATCCTAGGGTATGGAATTAGATAGGTGCTAATATTCATCTCCTTTATAAACAAGGAAATTAAGGCATGGAAAGGAAATGTACTGTGCTCAGGAGCACTTGCTGGTTAAAGGTAGGGCAAGGATTGAAACTCAGGTATTCTCTCTAGGGTCCTTAACTTCCCCCAGAGTGACATGCCCTGGTATTGCTGCCTCCTATATGAGGCTGGAGCCTAGGTACAAATGATCCTCAGAAAGACACAGACAGGGCCAGGTGCTAGCCAGAAGGGCAAGCCAGGGACTAGGCTCAACCTTCCAAACAACAGGTCAGCAGATGAAAACTAGGTAAATGCCCAGGTATTTTTTTTTAGACTGAAGTTGGGATGAGAGGGAGTAGTACTGAAGACCATCATCACCCCAAGCCAGCCAACCTGGGGATAAAGGGCCAGGACCAAATGGTAGCCCACTTCTAGGCAGGCAACTAGGGGAAGTAAGAACTGAGTCTGTGATTGAAGCAACAGCTCTATAAAGGGAAAGGCAAGTAGTTGATGGAGCAATAGCACCAGTATTTGGGCACAGACTTTACTGCCCTCAGCAGCACAGGGAAATCAATTCAGAATGGCATAGATTATGACAAGGGCCTGCATGCTTCTTTGGAGGCCAAGGATGACTCTTGGGCCTGATATGAGGAAGGGGCACAACTCCCATTCACAGTCAATGATGGGAGATGGACCAGCAGAGTAAGAACAGATGTGGATCTGACAATCTGAAGGGGAGGCATATTCCTGTCCTTTCCTTCCCATGACTCTAAAATCCAGGCAGGCGAAGAAGAGACTGAGAAAAGATGTAGAAGAAAAACACTTAGAAGTTGTTTCCTGAGTCCTGAGGGCAGCAGAAGCACAGCCAAATACAAGAAGTGACCTTGGACAAGGAAATGGACATAGACCTGAGCTTCATGACCCCAAAGCAGCAGAGGCCCTGGGAGTCTAGTCCAACATTCCAGCTAAAGCCTCTCACCGTTCATGGCCAAACTTGGTTTATCTCTCCATTCTCTGAGCTTCCTCTGACCCCTTCTCAAATTTAATTCCATGGCTAAACACAGCCTTTGAAGGAGTGGCCCACCCTGAACAAGCTATTGGGAGGTGTAAGGATACAGTGAGATAACACAGGCACATGTGTGGTCACTCACAAACTGCTCACCTTCTTTCATGGATTCAGTGATCCAAGAGTCCCAATTCCTGGGATTATTTATAGCTCTCAGAAGGCATTCAACCTGATGAAGTTCTCTAAATGCTGTATCCCATCCTGCTGTGAGGCTTCAGAGCTTAGTGGCCATCCAGGCCTCTACTAGCGACAGCAACAATCACTATTGCCCACCATGACCCTTCCCCAATTGCAGGGGGACAAAGAAACCAGGCAGGTCATGAGAATGAATGAAGCCAATGGGCTGGGACCTCGGGAACTGTGAATATGGGGTAGTTTCTATTCAACTCCATGTCATAGGAACCAAGAAGTATACCCAGAAGTGACAGGTGATCTGATTTTTCAAGAGAAGCTGAAAATTCAATCTTTATTGAAACTATCAGTTTTAAAATACTGACAAATAATTCAAAAGGTAAAGAGGATACCAATGCCCCTGGCAAAGCTTTTGGAAGATTGCATCGGGGTTTAGAATAGGCCCAGCAAGGAAAGTGGAGAAACCCTCTTCAGAACAGATATGGATTTGAGAAATCTGAAGGGGAGGCATATTCCTGTCCTTTCCTTCCCATGACTCTATATAATATGGCCCTGGGTCCATACTTCGCTCCAAGAGCTCTGCCCACCTGCAAACCTCTGCCAATGTGTTCCGTTTAGTACCTGCCTCCTTTTCCTAAGCCAGCACAGAGCCTATCACCTCTCAGGCATTTACTCAGCCCCCATGAAAAGAGAGCTTCTCACAATTTCCACCAGCTTGCTTAGCCCCAAGGGTCTACACTTCCCAGGGGCATCCCATTCCTTCATCTATGTTCTCTGTCCTAGTCATTTTCTAGGTACATTTTAATTTGATTGCCCCTACTCTAAATTGCTAAGATCTGGGTCAGGCCAGCCAAGTTAAATGAGAGGGAAAACAAGTAAAAATCCACAAAGGGATATTCAGTGAGGACAGGGGGTTGGCAGACAAAAGACAGACTCTTCTCTTTCCATTAGAACATTCAGCTTACCTAAAACATGACAGGTTGGGGATAGCTCAGTATCCTTAGCCAAAACTCAGCCAATACTGATGGCACTTGGCTTGTGGTGGGAGCGCCACCTGGTGTCCACTCTGGAACAGCCAAGTATTGGAGATGTAGATACTCCCAAACTTCCTAAGACAAACTCCTCCCTCCACCTCATTCCCACGCCCCAAATTCATCTCTAAGCCTCTATTCTCAGTGTCTGAGGCCTGAGGGCAGAGAAGAATCCCGTGAAAGTCATGTGGAATCCAAACAACATCTCCTGACTAGATGGGGCTGGGAGGCCAAAGGTCAAGTCCTGGCTTGGCCACCAATTCCAGTTAGGTAATTTCCTGCCCCAGGCCAGGCCTCAGTTTGCTTACAAGATGAGAAAGAGGATCTAAAACAGCAGTTCTCCTGGTCTATCTCCTCTCTAAACCACACACAAAGTTTTCTCATTCTACCTTCTGTACTTTCTTCTCTTATATGATGAATTCGGTATGTTTCAAAGTGATCTCCATGGGTTAATGATCCAGTGTCCAGCTCTGATGGATCCTTAGGCCTACTAGGGCCACTTCACTGAGGAGGTAGACATGCAGACTGGTGCTTTCTCACAGAGTTCACTTTTTCTCATGAACGCAATGATCCAAGAATCTCAATTCTTGGAATTGGAAGTAATTCTCAGAGGCATCCAGTCCAACCTGGGAGCCCCTCACCATAGCCCTTCTCTGGCAGTCATGCAGCTTCTGCCTACCTG